CCCGGCCCGAGCGCTCTAATCCCGCTCACGTCCCAGCCCTCGTTAGCATGGGCCGAGGCGCGCTGGGGCCGTGTGCGCCGTGGAGATAAGGCACTGCCGCGGGTCCGCCCGCCCCCGATAAGCGCCTCGGCCATTATGGGCCAAATGATTCATTTTAATTTGGCAATTTCACCGGAGGGAGTGGAGACTGGTTGTGCGGCGCAGAGACCGGCTCCGAAACGCGCACTACGCCATCTCGGCCCGGCCAAAGCCTCTCAGGAATCCCCACGCCCCACAACCTCCCTCACTTCTTGTACCTTGCAGACGCTCTTCTTCCTGGACTCTGGCCCGACACCGTGTCCGTGCCTCTGACAACCAACCACCCTGACACCCAAAACGTCACCTGCCAACCTCTCTGCATTCTTTCTTTCTTCGGTGTCCTGGACCCCCAGATTTCAAGGGAGCAGTTTCCCTTGTCTCAGAAACACCCCTTGCTCCTAGCTGACCCTTCTGCTCAACGCTGAGCCCTTTCTGCTCTAAAATAGGGCAAGGATCTCAACCCCAAAGGGGTCTGTGGGAGCTAACCTGATGTCAATAGATGTAAACGTCCATTTGCTTGGTTTCAGAGTCCAAGGAAACCATTCCACCCTCCTCGCACAATACTTTTCATCTTGCTACTAAAGCACTGTTCTGACCACTCTAAAAAGCTATTTTATCTTAAAAACAGTCCTGAGAAGTTGGTGTAGTTAAAAAAAAAAATTCTCAGCTTACTGAGGCTCAGAGTGTAAAAGTAACAAAGTTACATTTCTAATGAGCGGTCGGAGCCTGGGTTTGAAGGAAATATGGCCGAGGAGTCTTCCCAGCTCAGCGGAAGAGCAGCCGCTACTACAGCCCAGACTCAGCTGAGGGCACAGGGTTCATCTCTTTCAGAACCAGGATTTGTGCTGTATGGCAGAAATCTGAATTCAGTGACAATCCAGTGACTGGAGCTCTACTCTGGAGAGTATCTAGGTTTATTCTTCAGTGATGGAGGGGAAAGAACACAGGCTCAAATGTTAGCCACTTAGCTCTGAGACTAAGTTTCCTCACTTATAAAAGAGAGATATTTTCTACCTCACAGAGTTTCGAGGATAAATGAAATAATTTAAAATTAAAGAAAAGGGGGGCGGTATGTAGCTCAGCTGTGCCTCACCTGCCTGGCAAGCCCATTGTCCTGATAATGGATAATGGGACAATGTGTAGAACCTCACCCAGTCTGCACTCCAGAAAAACACTATATGCATTTGCATGGGAGATCTGGCTATCATGGTAGAGAAGGAAATTGAGGCACACAGAGATAGGATGCTGCCAAACTCACAGTGATCTAGCAGCGATGCCAGGACCCAAGGTCCACCATCCCATGCACATTCCACAGCGGTACTCCTTATGCCAGGCTGCTTTGTCCCTCTAGTATTTCCGGTTTGGGCTCCTTTTAGAGTCTGAGAATGGAGGGAAACAGTCTGATCAGAGAGAGATCCAGGTAAGGACTGATCCTAGTGGGTGGCCTCAAATGGATTTTGGGGGGGGTACCAGGGATGGAACTCAGGCCCTTGTGCTTTCAAGGCAGGCGTCAGAATCACTGAGCTAAATCCCCAGCTCAAATGGATTTTTGGCCCCTCCCAGTGATCAAGATGAGTCACTAGGAAGGTACAGGAATTCGGGGCAGCCTGGCCCTCAGTTCCGCTTGTGTTCTCTGATGACAGGCAGACATGCAGATACAGGCAAGTTTCACAAAGTCCCATGGTGTCAGAGCCACCTGTGTCCTGTGAGTCTAATTTCCCCACCCCTACCTCACAAAGCCCTTGCCTTTGCATGGCTATGTCACTTAATAGAAAGAGTAAAAGGCTGCC